TAAACCATAATGGGGTTTAATCGCTCCCCACTGGTTAAAACTGGTTCTTACAACTGTACTACGACTGAGTTTGCAGCCTCCATCACACGACTCCACACAAAGCCATATTCGTGTTACCATTGGCACAACATAACCAAAGTGGTCATTAATCATAGGTTGATATTTTTAGATTTAATTACCCAGCCTGTCCTCTATTTTTCGCAGTAATTTTCGTGAAAACTCCTCAGAACCTCTTATTGTCCTTTTTATTCCTTCTTTTGCAAAGGTCACTTAAAGCTCTTTATATTTTTTTCTTATTTTAATGACACAGTCACTTCTGAATGATATATTTAAACTACGGAGATGATAATCATCTTGTTAAAACCTGCTGCCTTTTTCTCCCAGCTCAGGTCAGGTATCGCTCAATTCTCCCGAGGTCCAATTAGGGCATTACGTCGCCCTCTGCCTCTGCAGACAGTTACTTCTCTCTGCCGACTGCTTATTAGATTCATTCCATAAATCACCGCGTCCATTCATCTGTCCTTAAAGTTACTGTCTGTCTCCATTGTCAGCCCTGAGCTCCTATTTATTTATGTCTCTTTATGCAAACAGAAATTCTCTCTCTCCTCTCTTGACCTGGATTTAACTGAGAGAAACAATTAAGAGTATATTTGTCTTCGTTATACAAGAACGGCAGGAAAAAAAACAAAGAGAAAAAAGACTCGTGAAAAAAAAAACTGCTGGCAGAGGAAAAATTAAAACAGAAACGGTGATAAGAATGTAAACTAGGACATAAACAAGACAAACACACAGTGAACGGGGCAAAGGATAACATCAGCAGCAGTAGCAGCAGCAGCAGCAAAGAGGCACCAACGGCCGTTAGAATCATGAATCAAACATTACGGCAGCCGACGCAGGCAAAGAAATAAAACATGGTCGGCAGCAGCATGTCGTTTTCTGATTGTCTCAATGTCCTCCGCTAAGCTGTGCACGCAACAATGTCATCCCTGCTGCAGAGTGACATCTGTCATGCTTTAAAAGGAGGAATGAAAAAACATTTCAATTTCTTCGGTAGACTTGTCCTGCAAATTTCTTTTTTCTTATTTTCTCAGCGTAAATAATACTTAGAAAAAAAAAACATTTTACTTTTTATGGCCATAAATATTATAGAAAATCTTCATGTATTTGGAAACAGGTGCACGGAATCAAAAGCGGCAGGGTTGAAAAGAAAAACAAAAACAAACAAAGAGCCCAGCACAGTATGCGTAGAAAGGCCAGTGGCCGCCACCTGCCGAAAGCCGGCCAATTAGAGCGAGCAATTACAAATAGAACAGATTTTCTATTTATTTAAAAACACCAATAACAACGGTGTCAGTATGTGTTATGATAAGGCCACGCCAGGGACATTATAGAAATTTTTTTTTTTTTTTTTTACTTTTAAGTTTAAGTTGGAGCCATAATACGCAGCCTATTATATTGTAAAGTAGAAATATGTACCAGAGGCGACAGAGTAAAGGAATATTATCCGGCTCATACATACAAATGGAGAAATAAAGGGAAAACACAACGATCCGTAACACACAACTAGGAACAATGTAAGGAAAACAGTAAGTTAAAATAAGGGGCGGGGGACATTAACGATGGGCCCAACGGACACGTTTAAGTTTAAGAATAAATGCCAGCGTACAGAACTCTTTGGAGAAACCTGTCCGACTTTTAATCCTGACATGTCAACAATTAGCAACAACATAGCAACAAACATTTCAGCAGTGTGTGTAAATAACATGTCGACTGTGGATGAGAGCAACAAGTGAACGGACGGTGGAATTATTGGATGTACAGACTGCGTGATTCCATCCACATGTGCAAATTTATAATCTGATTAATCTGAACAAATTATTTTAACCCGATTGAGACGTTAAGTTTATTAGTAAAGGTCAGAAGACGATGAAATGAAAAAGCTGCTAAAACGGTTTTAAAGCTAAACAGGGGAAAAAACCCACAGGAGTAAACAGACAGGTGCCAAATCAAAGGGACTAATTGACTTAGTTCAGGACCCTCCTCCACTCCCCCGCACCTCCCGCTCATTTATTTTAGTCAGCGAACTTAATAACTTAGAAAAAGTCTGTGTAAAAAAAAAAAACTAAAGTTTCACCACATCCACTTCTTTCATCTCGACCACTGCTTTGCGAAGATGCAAAAGAGGAAGAAAGAGAAACAAAGTGACGGTTACTTATGTCTACATGAGAGCGGCTAGTGTTTATTCTAAAGATGAAAGATGTCTCCGATCGCTTCAAACAAGAACTTCCACCAAGCAATTACTTTTCAAAAACAAAAAACTTTCCTCCTTCGCACACAAGCTGATTACGACCTCTCTCTGAGAATGGATGTAGCGCGGAGACGTGCAGTGCTGTCGGAGTCGCGTGGGTGAATAATCAGTCCTGGACAGCGGATTCATACTTTGCATGGACAAATAGTCTAATTAGGAAGTGTACTCAGTGATGCATGCTGAGAAGAAAAGGGCAGCGGGAGAAAACTCCACCGCGTTCACGATCGAAGGGAAGAATTAAGTCGTTAAAACGAATCAATTACAGCGGAATATAATTAAATTTCAAAATTTATTCTAAAGCGTCTCCGTGTGGTCCGGTTATGTCTCTGTGTGCTGACTGGGCCGGACGGTGTCCTGCAGGAACCATCGGTACCTGACGCACACCTGATATTTGTATTCTCCGCCATCCGCCTGCCCATCTCGACGAGACGTGATTGGACGTTGGCCTGTTTCCAGTCTGTCACGCACGGCGGCTGCCTTCCAGGCATTAGAGCCTAAAGAGCTTTTCTGGAAAGCACCGAGAAAATTCTCTTCTACTCTGCCACTTGGTAATTCACTCTGTGAGAGGCCTCGCAGAACGGAGAAGGAATTCAGAGTGAATCCAGCTTTTTTGGAAATCACTGAAAACAATCTCTTCTACAGATTGTTTTTTGTTTTTTTTAAAAAAAGCACCAATGGAGCAATGAATATTTACCAGTGTGTTTAACAGCAGGAAGTAGAGTGTTTGAAAACTTCAACGTCAGTTTCTCAGTACTTTTATGTTAAGACTTAAAACAAAAATGTCCCAGGTGAAATTTAGAATTTATCTTTTCAGCTGCGGCGAATGTAAAAACGAACCAATGACGTCTACAGAAACTTTGATGATGTCACTACACCCTTAAGTTAACCGTAGTCCTGTAGTAGATCTCCCCACATTTTCAGCTGTCGTATTAGGATTCTTCTGCGTTACATACTAGAGAGCTACAGATCTGGCAAAATATCAAAACGATCAACTTCTTAATCTCGCAAGAAAAATAAAGCAAAAAAAAGTAGCAGAACTTAACAGAACTTAATGACAGAAAAAAATCCAAAAGATGATAAAACAGCAGAAAAAAAAAATCACAAAATAGGAAACTCTGTACACTCTATTAGGATGATTACGGTAATGCACCTCTACAGTGACCGTACGGTTGCGGCTGCTGTTTCGACCGAGCCATTCGTCTCCCGTAGCCTTTGTCTGTGACACGTTCCCTTACTTTTCCAGCTCTTCCATTTGCTGCCTTATTAGGGAGTGTGAAGTACTTTTTAAATTTGGTTCCTGGTCCTCCTTCTCCGCAACCCGCCGTAGCTCAGGCAAGCTCCAGGACGGGAAAGAAATATGGGCTGTAGGAACGATATTTCACTGGCACCGGCTTGACGTTGATGGATAGAGGATCATTAGACATTTGCCAGTTTGCTTGGGCGTGGAGTTATTTTCAGACGTAATATATGGGAGAGGGGAGCAGGGGCTGGACCGGAGCTTCTGGTAAAGATCTCAGAGGGGACACACATCCCAGGTTCATGGAGTTTTGCGGAGCCCTCGGAGTAGAATGCAGGAAACGGAGGGCGCAAAGGGAAATGGAGACAGAATTTGCAAAAAAAAAGTCGTATTTTCTGGTCTAATTTTGTCAGACATGGCTACAGAGCTAACTGCTCAAAACTACATAACTATTAGCACACGACGTCCGTCTAACTTTAACCTCTAACTTTTAGCTTGCTGTCTATTTTTTACAAACAATTTTGTTCATGTTTAGCAAATTTGGCTAACATTTAGCCGCTATACTGTATTTTTCCTTATTTTAATCTTATTTGGCCAACTTAAACAGAACTTCTGCCTTATGATTTATGATTATTTAGCCTTTGGGTTAGCTCTTAGCTTCGAGGAGCTTGAAGCTTTTTTAAGTTGTCTTCTCTAACTGTTTGCTGTTGTGCAAAAGAGAACCCTATCTTTAGCTAGCCCCCTGAGCTAAGTCACTGTAATAATAATGACCGCTACTGGAGCCTTTACATTTTTTAATCTTTCTTTTTTAAATCTTTGTTTGTAATCAGTCTATCAATGGCTCTTTTCCCACAATGCATTGTTAATTTCTGACACCTCCAACCATCACTAATTAATTAGTTTTTTTTTCTTTTCCATGTTGTTTTCATCCAGTGAAACTTATTTCATCTTTTGATAAATATAAATAGTTTATTTTTTCTATAATTTCACAATAAACATGATTTATTAATAACCTTCAGCGACTGAACGAACAAACCTGTCAAAAATGTACTAATTACCGAGACTACAAATCAAGTCCTATCTTTTAATTATGAATTTTGCTTTCTTTTATCGTTTCATTTTAGGATATTTAAAGCGTCTATTCATTAAAATGTTTAAACTGCAACTTTTTTTTTTTAAAGATACACGATTTACAAATATTTAGGTTCTCTGATATGAGCAACTGTTATAACGGCAGTATGTGAAGTCCTCCAATTCCAACGACAGTATTTATATATTTCCTGTAATCAATATTTACTGTGAACTCCTGTCATGGCGACAGAACTAAATTCATCGTAAAACAAATTAGTTCCAAAACTTTGAAAAAAGTTGTCCTGAATCACAGCTCAGTCCAGTCCAGAACCTTGGGAGAACTGTCCGTTAAATGCAGAAGTGTTTCTCCTCTTCTCTCCTCAGTAATGGTTCTCCTCATCGTGACTATGCGTCGGAGGAGGAAGCAGCCTCTGATCCTGGAGGAGGAACGGGACATCAGGGAGAATATTGTCCGTTACGACGATGAGGGCGGAGGAGAGGAAGACACGGAGGCCTTCGACATGGTCACCCTGCGCAACCTGAACGTCATCAGGGACCCCAACGTGCGGCGAGACGTCACTCCCGACACGCCTACTTTCTTTCATTACCCATCAGCCCCTCGTCCGTCCTACAAATCGCTGCCGGACAATGTGGTGTTCCGAGAGTTCATTTGGGAGCGGCTGAAGGACGCCGACATCGACCCGTCGGCACCGCCGTACGACTCCCTGCAGACGTACGCCTTCGGGGGCCGCGGTTCAGTAGCAGAGTCGTTGAGCTCGCTGGAGTCTCTAAGTACAGACTCGGACCAGAACTATGACTACCTGAGCAACTGGGGACCACGCTTCAAAAAGCTGGCCGATCTGTACGGTAACAGCGACGCTGCCAGCGTCTTCTCGTAGCCCACGAAGCGTCTCTGTTAGCCTTTAAAACATGAGTAATTTATTGTCAGAGAAACGAGATATTTGTCGGCCTCAGTGCACCGGAGAGAAGAGATTCAAAGACACAAAACACAGGGGAGACTGGAAGATAAACTCTTTGACTTCAAAAGGGTTTTTTTCTTTTCTGTTTTTTTCCTCCTTTCATTTCGATTCTGTTTACCTCCTCCGTTGGATTTTTCAGATGCGTGCCATGGTGAGGTTTGACTTCAAAAGCGGTTCCAGTGAAGGAGAAGGAAACCTTGTGTGAAAAAAGACATTAAAGGTTCCAGATTTTTTGGGCCAGAGTCCGAGTTCTGACTTCAGACTGCAAACACGTTGGAGTTATTTATAAGGCAGAGACACCGGTCCTTTCATTCCAGCGATGGGTTAAAAAGATCCTAGCACTTTTTCTTTGTTTTTTTTACTTTGATGCATTTCTTCGCAACAGTATCTTTGTGCGTTAAAAAAAAAAAAAACAGAAAACAGCAGCAAGAAAAAAAAACAAAAAAAAAAAACAAACAAGATTTCATGAAATGTCGTGTCCCTGGAGGCTAGTAGTCACTTGTTTTTACTTCCTTCTTCTTTTAGTTTTCTCTGGTTGGTATGCCTGGGTAATGGGGAGTGGGATTTTTTTTTTCTTCACCTATTATTCAGTCATACCTGTCAACAAATATATGAAAAGTGCGAGTACACAAATAAAGTATAAACAAGTAGGAAGTGATGTGAAGACATGAGTTGTGCGTATAATCAAAAGAATGACACTGGTGTCGGATTGATGCCTCCGCTGGGCCAAACAGGGAAAGGCGTTTGAAGTCTCTTATTCTCCTAACAGTACATTTTTGCAGATGTAGTCTTTGTCTGAGTCACTTTTCCTTTGTATTTCTTTTTTTTTTTTTTCCTACAATTGACAAGCGATTGTATGGTTTTTGGAGCCGAGTTTCTAGCAGAAAGCCGTGGGAGGAAGGGGGACAGAGAGAGAGAGAGAAAAGCGGAACCTTTTCTGAAAGGATTGTCCTTGTCGTGCTTAATTGCAAAACTTTGTGCCATCAAGACCACAGAGAAAAATAAAGGGGGGAAGGGGCTTGGGGGGGGGCACAAAAACACATTGTTCCTTAACAACAGTGGCATTCTGTACCTGGGTGAAGTTGCAGTTTGTAAGAGTGAGTTTTGTTGCTTTCGTAGTTTGCAGCGTCCAACGTGTTTTTGTCACTGGAAATGTAGTTCAATAATGATCTCGACAGGGCTGTCACTTTTCATCTGAAGTTGAAATATGGGGGAGGGTAGGTGGGGGGTGGGGGAGATTGTCTAACGTCTGGTGAAAGGCGCTCTAATGTAGCTCACAAAAATCTTTCTTTTTAATTTGCCTTTAATGTTGGCAGGGGAGGACGGCAATAGAGAGAAATGTCCAGTAGAGACATTTTGACTAGCCACTAGCACGATCAGGCGGTTTTATCAGTGCCAAAACAAAGTGACACTGGTGTTGGTTTGCCGTTGGCAAGCAGGGAAGTTGCGGCTCAGAGGCGGGAAAAAGCCACACACCGACGTTTGTGGAAAGTAGTCATATTTCACAGATAGAAACGTACATTTCTCCAAACAACTCAAAACAAAGTATCTTGTTTTGCAAGAAACCCGACGACTACTTCCAGGTAGTTAACAATACTTGAAACATTGTCACATATTTTGGGTACTCACCTAAAATCCCTCTCTGTGTGTAGACTCATGTTGGTCTCCTGGTGGTCAGGCAACACAATTTACAGCTTATTATCCCAGTGGATAAAAAATACTAGGGATTTCAATTTTAAAAATAAAACAAAAAACTTTATTCTTACCCGAAATACAAGGCTTCGTCTTCACGTGGTCGCTCACAGACTATAATGCCTCTGTGCCTGCAAAAGAGGAAAGTTTGCCTCAGCATAAATCAACCCAGTAGCATGGATGCTCTTTTTTTAGCTGTTTGCAAATAAGCAAAAAAAAAATCTGATTGGCTGTATAAATACAACACCAACTGATCTTGTCATTGAGGGGTTTTACAGACAGGTTACTGACTATTCACGCCTCTGTGCCTGCGCCTGCCTTAGCACGTGTCGTTTGCTAAAACTTCAGTAAAAAGCGACAGCCCTTGTCTACGATTTTTTTGGCGACGACGAAAGGACACACTGTATATGATAATCATATTGTGCCATTTTTTTAAAGATTAATGCAGTTGTGTTTGAGTGTCAACATGTACAACTGATATGTATTATTACAATTATTCTTATTATTGATATTTATTTTGAAGAGAAAGCAGAAATGTGCAAATTGTTTTTAATCCTTTAAATAAAATAAAGTTGACATTGGGTTCCTTAAAAGACAAATGTTGCCACAGCAAGTATTTCACTGTAGGAATTAATTGTTTGTGCATTTAGTAGGGATTCAGAAGCAGCTCAAGCCAAGTGCACAGAGACCAGTGTGTAGCGACGGTGCCGTGTGCAGGGAATCTCCATCGTGCATCGTGTGGCTGGAGGATTTGAACCTGCAACCATCTGGACATGAGACCACTTCCACCTGGCCACCACTGCGGTAGGAGTAAACAGAGGCATCCGATGTAAAAACATTTTGTTCCACAACTTGATTGCTTCTAAAATATATTCGATATCAAATTTAATTTAAATACATTTAAAAGGTTTTTGTTCAACTGAGGATTGATTATCTTGTTATTGTTATTTTTCCATTCTCGCTTTCCTCTCATGACTAGGTTTTGCTATTTTAGTTTTAGTCAACTTTAGCCGTGCAGCTCCTGTTTTGGTTAAATAAAATACCATAAAGTACAGCAGTGACTGGAGGCTAGATTTTAATTAAGGACAGAAACTCTTAGCTAAGTCATGCCCCTTGCTGTTGATCGTGTCTCAACAGCAGTTAATGATTCTATGTGATGCAAGAGATTGCAAGAAAGTCAACTCCTTATACATATACTGCTTCAAACAGTTTCAAAGATGGAATAGTTGATCCACATGTGATTTTTAGAATATTTATATTAAAATTTGATCATGTTTCAGGTTTCTCATCAAATAGGACCAACATTTTTTTAGAAAAAAATTTTATTTTTATTTTCCAAATTTTTTTTTCTGAAAATGTTTCCCCAAAAAAATTTTTTTGATTTTACCAAAACATTTTTGCATTTTCAAAGCATGATGTACAGTTCACATTTTGAAACAATAATTTATATTTTTTAATAATAAAAGATTAAAAATTTTAAAAATAAAGAGTTTTATTTTTAAATAAGGCTATAGTAAGGCGCGTTTTGA